CACAACCATCAGCCTAGATTTATTGGTGTACCTTTAGTGTTGGCCTGTCTTTGTGTGTATCTACTTGAAATATAATTATTAGACATCTATGGTTTGCACTGCTGAACCATACATGAATGAGTCATTAAGTGCATTCAACTATCCATTACAAATTGTAGACTGCTGTTAAGATTTCTGCAAATATTTTGGTTGATAAAATTTGTATTCAAAGTACTTTAACAAAGGCAAAAATGGTATAATATTAATGAGTCATATAAATGATTTGGCCAAGATAATGGTTAATTATGTACATGTATTATCATCTTACACTCTATCACAATCATGAAATCATAGTAAAGCTCAAGTCCTAATGATAAACCTACATTAGGCATCCTAGCTACCATTTTTGTCCTAATTGTAAACCTAGCTACCATTTTTGACCTGATGGTAAATCTACCACTCTAGCTACCATTTGTTGCCTGATGGTAAACCTACCGTATTATCTACCATTTGTTGCCTGATGGGAAACCTACCGTATTATCTACCATTTGTTGCCTGATGGTAAACCTACCGTATTATCTATCATTTGTGTCCTGATTGTAAACCTAACGTATTATATACCATTACTTTTATCATCTGTATTATAAATTCAAATTCTAGTTTATAGATTGTAGATGGTGAGTTAAATATCTTTCTTGTTAAAAATACCAACAAGTTTACATGTAGTTATATTCCTCTAAATGTTACCCAGAAAAATACAATTATAATTGGTTACCGACCAGAAGTGGTACATGTTTGCTTGTTGCTGTGAGATTTATGAATAATCTGAACCTATGATAATTGGAACGGGAATGGTATTAAGGCCCTATAATTTGAATCTATCGTAATTAGAACGGGGATGGTATTGGGCCACTTCCTCTTAGCGATTCTTAATAGGCCTGTTATCCTGGTTAGTATTGATTGTAGGTAAAACACAGCAAATATGAGTTAAAGTGTTTGACTTGCACTCAATAATTCCAATATCTTGCTGATAATTTCTGCCCTGAGTCTAGTTGTTAAAATTCAATCTTCAAAATTCACCTGCTTGGTGACTATTTTATTAAGTATGAGTGTTTTCATCCGTTTTAATATAAAAATTTCAACATGTCAGTGTTTATAAAATTTTGTCATTGATCAAAATCTTCTTAGTATTTTGAGTTTTACTTGCATGTTGTACAGACTATGATGATCTGCACTTCTGCTAACTCTAGGCAGGATTTACCATTGTCCAGAGGAGCCATATATTTGTAATCGTTTTCCCAAATTTTCTTTTAATTTTGGGAATTCCTAAAAGAAAAAGAATGTAAATGAACTACTCTCAATTTTTACATACATGTACATGACAATGCAACATTAGACAAATAGTTTCCATCCATATTTCAGTGTTAAGATTGAACAAGCATATTTGCAGAAGCTTCATCGATATGTCTGTATAAAGGACCCTGTTTTGCCCATATCAGGAGCAGGTTTCATGACTATATAAAGGGTCATATCTATTATATTAAGACTATGTCTGTATATAGATATGTGAGCAGTTAACAATGTGTTTAAGGTACACAGGTACACCAGTATTGATACTGTGTGCTGTAATCAGGGTGGAGAGATGTTCATGTACTCTCAGGTGTTACTGTATCCTCTATGTTAGACCATACAGACATGTACCCCTGAGGCTCGGGGGTGTTAGCTGGGTATGATAAATTCACTGATTACTCCCTGAATGTATCCATGTATATTACTGGTATAAACCAGCCTAAATGGTCTGGGATTAACATGAAGGGCTGGTTCACTATAATAGTGGTACACAGCTCCTGGCTACCACACATAACAAGCTGAAATTTGATAATATTGTCAGCTTAATAAGATAATTAGCCAAAGAATAAAAGCATATGGGTAAAACATGTTATCTGATGGGATAATCCATATCAATAGAGACAAAAACCTAGTTCTGTAATCCTCTTTTACGCATTGCATCATGATTAGGTTGACTTATATTTTTCGTTGATTTTGACAATATACATGTAGTGATCGTTAATTATTTCATAATTATTTTTCAAATTTGAGGTAGATTTTCAATAAATAGTAACACAGGGAACTTTGCTAGCTAAAAATGTTTTACTTTCCTGTCTTCCATATTCATTCATAACCGGCATCTTTTATATATATCTTATATATATAAATACAGATCATGAACATCTAAATAAAATATGTGATATCATTTAACAGGGAAAAAATAGATATGAAAATGGTCATATACAAATGTTTTACATCAACAGTATTTGTGGTTAGCTTGATAGATCATGAAATAACAACAATCAAAGGTCGTTATTAACCTGTACCCAGGTCAGGTTTATTGTGACGTTCTGAAAGGGAGGACAATTAGACTAATGTACTACACAACGAATGGGGAAAATTAGACAGTGCTAGACCCCAGATAAAGTGTATCTGATATTTTCATTCTAAGGATAAGTATTTACGGGTTAATTAGGTTAAATAATTAGGATTTAATTTTCTACAGGTAGACTTTCAATCAAAAACATACACTAGGTAAAACTTGCTAGTAGCCTTAGAAATAAGTCTTACAGCATTTGTTGTTAATCTTTAATGCTTATCAGACAGACTATAATTTATAATTCAGATAGCAGAAACATGTAGGCGTTCACAAATGTTATTCTTAATTACGGAAACTGTCTTGAAAAATCTTTGATTTAAAAAAACATAATGCACATTCATTACAATTATTTCCAGTAGGTTTATATTCTGGAATCAAATCGGTCTTAATTATATTATAACTCTAAGGAACATTTACATGTAAGATTACAAAGTCTGTCGATCCTATATCGTCTCTGTAGAATTTTGTTTGTAGGATAATTACAGATACTTGTAAGCCTTGTTACTTTGTGGGCCCGAGCATAGCTCATAAACATATTTTATGCATACATGTTCAGTGGACTGAGGAACGCGGTAGTTAGGCCAACATTGCAGTTGATAATTGGCTGCTCTTTATGATAACAGGTTTTATACCTTGATACATTATGTATATGATGTTGATATGTTCACCACCACAGAGCTTACCTAAGTAAATCTGTAGTCTGTATAATGTTCAGGAGACAGACCGTGAAGCTGTGTATGCATTCTTTTTTCCTAAGATTGTTGATTTTTTAAAACCATATATTATCTTGGGTGTTTTATCACTGATCCTTAAAATTTACCTCATGTTTTATTGATGTAGAGTGTGTGTTTACATTCAAAGTGTTCTATATATGTTGTACCGATATAGATTTAAATGATAAAAAAGGGGAGCTTCCAGTTCAAGGCTTTATTCAGTGGTTACTAGAGTAAACATCTAAAGCATGTTACAAAATGATGAAGGGTAAATTAAAAAACAAAATTTCCAAGTGAAGCAAAGGCTATGGTATAAACAAGTTTTACATATTTTAACTTCATGCAGAGGTTAAATTTCCTTGATTGTAATTTCATCTTGAAATTTATATGAAATTGGTTACGGTCTAAAGAGCTAGACATAATAAAACTAGTAATGGCCTTTTGGAGCATATTTCTAATGTTTTGATTTATCAATGATGAACAATGTTTTAATAGGAGTTCTCTTTAGCAATATAAGCATGCAGCTTGTTGCTGATTTAAAGTTTAAACCAATTAGTTTAAACAGTTTAACACCATTTCTCGTTAGCAGTGAATACTACAACTATTTACCAATTCAGTAAGGTGTCAACAAACTGATTTGATTTAAAAGGCACTTGAAGCGAAGGCCTCATAATGAAGTTTCCTTATCAGCCACAGGTATGAATTAGGATCAGTGGTGATACTGGTAGATTGAAGTGCCTATCTGCTCCAGGTACACAGGTACAAAGCCTGGCTGTACATGTAAAGGTGCTTTATAGTGGTCTATACCATCAAGTGTAGTAGGACCTAGTTTTGTGGTAGCTTGAACATTTATCAAAACCGTTTTGACATGTACATGTACCAGGTTTTAAAACATCAAGAATTAAATCTTGTTTTTAGTGAGATATTGATCAGATTTAACTGAGACAAAGATCATCTTTATTTTCTAATTTGATATGTATATAAAAAAAAATGAAGTTTTGATAAACTAATAAAACTTGGGAGAACAGCCTCAGCCAAGGTAACACAACAGACATCAAACACAGACATGAATCAGACATGCCTGTGTACAGGTGGACATCCCAGAGAGGCAGGCATGTCTAAAAGTTAAAAGACAATTGCAAACCCCATCCCTTCTGGATGAAGACAATTGTCTACAGGAAGTAAATGTCCTAAACATCTGATAATTCAATACATGATAATAAAAGTTTTTTTCTGATTTAAGTACATTATGTGAAATTGTTAAAATTACACGTTTGATCCCGGTAGCGAAGCCAATACATTTTAAGTATAAAAAGCAAATTTTGATACAGATTTCCTAACACAATTTTTTTGCCACTGTAAATTCAAATTGGCATGCTAATCTAAATAGATAAATGTCGAAGTTTTCTTTACTGGAGATAGTACAACACAGTCAAAATGTACTATATTATATAATAGACAGACAATACAGTCAGGTCTTATAGGACATGGTGAGGGTATAATTTTGTTGTTTTGGGGAGGTGACCAAGGTCTAATAGGACATGGTGAGGGTAGTTTTGTTGCTGTGGGGAGTTGACCAAGGTCCAATAGGACATGGTGAGGGTAGTTTTGTTGTTGTGGGGAAGTGACCAAGGTCCATTTGTACATGGTGAGGGTATAGTTTTGTTTTTGTGGGGAGGTGATCAAGGTCTAATTGGATTTTGTGGAATAGGTCTACAAGTATAAATTAATAGATACTGGTGCTTCATTGTACTTTAAAGATACATATAAATATGGTACATTTATGCTTGATTTTTTATAATCATGCTACCTACTTGCTTGTTGTTTTCTGGATATTCTGTTACGAGTATGCTTTATTTGGTATACTTTTTGTGTTGTAGGGAGTGGCTATTTTGTGGTGACCCCTGACACATACCGCCTGCCAACAGATGATCCCCAGCAGACGTATCCAATGAGCTGGATGCATTATAACCCTATGTACATTCCGGTCCCAGCCAACCAACCAAAGGCCCTGCTGACACGCTCTATATCCTGTCAAGTCAGCTTAGTCAACCAGCCTCAAACTATTCCTCAGACTCCACCTACACAGGCTCCACCTACACAGGCTCCACCTACACAGGCTCCACACACTCAGGTTATACCCACTCAGGGCACACCAACAGAGGAGTCCAAACCAAGGGAGGAGATCTATACTGATGGGACAGAGATATTACAGTCTGTAGCCAATGATAAACCTCGACTTGGCCGTAGTTGGAGTGTCAGACGTACAAAGAACAGGCCCAGTAAAGAGGAGCGCGACAACACTAAGTCAGTCAGCAGGTGTTCCTCCATGAGGGGGGATCGCGGATGTCGAGGTGGAGAAAACCGTGACCTTAACCTTGCCAATAGTAACCTAAACAAGGTTAAAGACAAAGGTAACTTGAATTACAGTGTTGAGAATTAGAATGTCAGTATGATTCTCATGGTCAAATTGGCAAATATTTATTGAGGCTGCTGCAGTCTGATCAATAACACTACAGCAAATATGATTCATTTGATTCCTTCATCATGTGTCAGTTCCAATCATCCATCATTCCACGGAAGCTGAGGCAGGGAACACACCGCATCTTGTAAATAAAGTTATGAGCAGCTTTTAAAGGAAATTTCACAAAACTTGTTTGGTTCAAGAAACTGCTTCTTTCTGACGTAAAACAAAAAAACTTGTAAAAAGTGTTTTGTATGTACTTACTAACAAATAAACTGCATCATGTGTGACTCGTATTTTGTTAACAAACAATGAATATGTATAGAAAACAAATTCATACATTCATTCAGGTGTAATATCTGTAAAGGGGAATAGGAATTCAAAACAGGCATTGATGCCTTCATAAGATCACTAATTATATGTCTTTTTCTTATGATTTCATGGTAAATTACATGATTTTCATTTTGTATATTTCAGGTGAGAAGAAATCTTTGCTGTCAAAGTTATTCGGCCGTAAAAAGAAAAAGAAATCTGAGAAACAGCAGCAGCAACAGGAGGACAAGAAGGTTGAGTCTCCAGCCACAACAACAGCCAGCAGTGGGGAGTACGCCACATTCTCAGCACAGTTCCCTCCCCCTGAGTGGCAGTGGTACCAGGAACAGATGGAAAAACAGGAACGGACAACCTCCTGGCTCCATCAGCAGAAACATCCTGACCAGGAGGGTCACAGCCAGATAACAGATCACGTCAGAGGTCAACATGGGAAACAAGTCCCCTTCATCAACAAACAGGATGGGTCAAGCTCTTCCGATTATATTTGTCCTCAACAGCTGTTTCCAAGACAACAGATATATGAAGCAAGGAGGCAACAACAGAAAATAGTGAATCCGTCCAAACTCAGTCCATTCACAGAGCAAGAGGAGGAACATTACTGCCAGATAGATCCCAGGTTTGAGGAAAGTTTACGCAATCTCAGAGCCTCCACACTGCCACCTGAAGGCTACTATGATGGAAACTTAATGGACAAAAAAAGTGAATTTAATCATGGATGCCAGAAGACCTCTGACAAGGCAGCCACATTGCCTGTACATTTACCCCAGAACACAGAGGAGAATCATCACATTCACAGGAGACATTCTGAGAGTCATGGTCACCGCCGGCGACACGAGGTTAGTGACCGGGTCAGAGTTCGTCCTCACTCAGGAGACAGGAAACAGTTGTTGGTTCAGGCTGACCAGTGCTATAATTACAGTCAGGAAAGTGAGGAGACAGTTTCCCCAAACCAGCCTTCATTTCCATATCATTCTCAGCAGAAACATACAGATCATGGCATCAGTGACCCATTGCACAGTTCTACCCCTCGTGGACTTCAGAAGGATCCAGGAGAGACTGTTCATAACAATACTGTTGATGACCTCTTCAATGACAAAATTCAGGGACGTGTACACAGAAGTAGAAAATCTAGTCGACACAGACATCGCCATAGCATTGCTTATCAAAGTAACTATCCTAAAAACGATATCAGCTACGAATACCATGGAAAACTGCCCAGGAAAAGCTCAAATAAGGCCTTGTCTAGGGACAGTGGTGTAAATTGTATAGGCTTAAGTCAAGGTCAAAGTAAGACTAAAGGTCATGTCAAGGAAGGACGTTCAACACCTTTAGAGTGCATTACAAAACAAAGTCACGCAGAGGGTAAGAAACAACTGAGAAATCCAAAACAGAACAACACTGATGCAAGACAGGCTGACAAAAAACACAGCAATATCAGTAATGAGGTTATTTGTGTGGCAGAGATCAACAGTTGTGTGCCGCCTGAGGCAAGAGAGATTACTCCAGCAACAGCAGTTACTCCCCCTGATGAGTTTGTGCCATATAGTGTGCAGGAGGAAGATGAGGGTATGGAAGGGGATGTGGACAGCTTTATTGAGGAAAGTGAACAGAGTTACGATACAGTTATAGACTCTCGAACGAGAAACAGCAAACGTATATCAGACTTGTGTGATCAAACCAAAAATATCAACCTAGGGGACAGCGGCTTTAGCTCGCCACGAAATTACGACAGTTTGCAAGACAACCAGGCGAGAATAAAAGTAAGATGTGAGGAGGGCTCATATCAAAGTTCATCATCTGGGGGGAGACAACCCAAACAATCACAGATAGTGCAGGATTCAGTGAAGTGTCATTCTAAAGATCCCTCACTTTATGAGAGATCTGACCTAATAGTGCTAAATAACATGAAGGATGTTCACAGAGACCAGAACCTGCTTTCTAACCATGTGATGAACCAGGTGTCGCTTTACCCGTCAAATCAGACATCGCTTCCACCCGAGGCTGTACGGCTTGGTAATAAGTCTCCAGTCCCCTTCAACTTCCATTTTGATGGCGACTACCAAGTTGTAGGGGTGGTATAGGACATTTTAACCATTTTTGTTCTTAAAGTTATTATAGTTGTTTGTTTTATCCATGTTTTATTGAGAACCTACAATGTATGTATAGACAAGTTATGTGTGAAAAATTTCAGTTACAACAGAACATATATTTAGTGCCTTATGTGACTTGTTAGTCTAGGTAAAATGTGAATCTGTCCAGTTGAGCTGTATGATTGGAATAATGACTTTCAGTAAACAAAATATTGTGACCTTCTGTGGAGGGGGAATTCCCCAGCATTGAAGGTCATTACTGATTTGTACTTAACAAATTTGAAAATACCAATGGGTTGTTCCTCAGGTATTATCCCATTGTCAGAGGCAACAAAGGGGTGTTCCTCAGGTATTATCCCATTGTCAGAGGCAACAAAGGGTTGTTCCTCAGGTATTATCCCATTGTCAGAGGCAACAAAGAGTTGTTTCCTTTGTCATAGCTCAATTCTTTGGAATTCCATTGGTTATTTTTTTAACTTCATTAAAAAATGGCATACCAGGAATTTCTTTTTACATGTAAGACCAGAGTTTTAACCTCTATGTATACTATACTCCACCAAAAGAATAGTGGAATTGTTTTTAGGCAAGTGAAGAGGAATATAGACTTTTTTAAGGAAATAATAGGATAATTTTAATTCACAAAACCTCGACAGTGATCGTTGTGTGTGTTATATTATTATAATTTAGTAACTCGTCTGTGCCTACAAATATTGTTACAGTTGTAACCTTTGTACATAGTAATTTATTTCACTCTGGACATCAACGTCTCAGTCTAGTGCAATTATTTTTTCTATAATGTATAGTTAGGTGTAATGAATGCTGTGTCAAAATTATCTCCCCATGTAATGGTGTCGATGTATGCCATATATTACACTTGCATTTAAGGACCGAGAATAATGGAATTTACAACTGGTAAATATTCTTACACAGATTTAGATGATTCCATTGTATGCTCAATCAAAGTTTTATTTGAAATTTGAAATATCTCAAATGGCAGCATGATTATTTTCAAAAAATATTACTTTTCATCTCTATGAGTAATTCAGTGACTCTATGAGTGACCAAATACAATGCACAATATTTTATCATTGTTTTTTTCTATGAGTAATTCAGTGACTCTATGAGTGACCAACTACAATGTACAATATTTTATCATTGTTTTTTTTCATATTCAATAAGCGACCCAGATAGTGTGCAATGTCATCCATCACATTAATAGTTGAGCAATATCACGTTTATTAGCAGGACGATATCTTAGTGTTCAGTACCAATGTCACACCAATGCCATATCCAGGACTCTGGAAGTTTACACAATTAGTTCTTTTAACAGTATGTTTGTAAATGTGCTCAGTATTTAGGTTTTAACAAGTACAAGGCAGCTCCTATTGCAGTTCTTACAACTGATTCTCATCCATTATATAGAATTAAAGCTTAGGACTTCTCATCCATTATATAGAATTGAAGCTTAGGACTTCTCATCCATTATATAGAATTGAAGCTTAGGACTGGAATCTGTTTTCTTCCTTATTTCAGAGGTTGAAATTTAGGTTTTTTATTTTCTTTTAAATGTCAAATTTTACCAAATTATTGATGTTTTATGTTGGATTCTTAGAGACAAGATAAAACCATTCCAATGCCAGTATTTATAAGTTGTACAACACCACAAGATAGTGAAGATTTATAGATTTCCCCCTAAATATTGAATTGAAATTAAAAACAAATATATTTCAATTGAAATTGAATGTGTATGTTGTTATTGAACAGTGGCAATGCTTAGTATCAAGATCCTGGTCCTTATGCTCAAACTCCAATTCTGTACTCTAGCTGAATTTCTCATTCCCCTGATAAATTAATGAAAAAAACACCTCATATTTTACCAATAACATCGAAAAAGATTGAAGAGACTTAAAACCAAATACTGTTTTCAATATTCACACTTTGGACTGTTACATGATTTAAGTGAATTACAATTAAGTTGGTTTGAGCACAGAATATCTGCTAGAGCACGAGAACAGTTTCCTGAATACAGCCTTAGATGTTGAATTATTATCTAAGATCTTCAGGTAATGTTCAAAAGAGTCTCCTGTTTCTTACATCATCAGATAAAATATTACAAACCATTTTTCAGGGTATTGTAATTAACTGTTTCTAGCAATATCTGATCATATGTAATGGCAAATCACAGACTGATTAAATTTACACTATATTTAATTCTTGATTCTGGAACAAGTTACTTTCTGGAAGCCTTGAAATGTAGAACATTTATTGAAGAGCACAGAAACTTTATATATTTTTCTTATCAAGGGGAAGTAACTCAATGATAGTTAATTTAATATTGTTTTTGATACAATTCATCTTGTCATATTCAATTAGGTTATATTTATAGATTATTTAATAGCACCAGAGAACCGTTACAAGTTTATAACAAAGTATATGATATCTGTTCATTAGGGGGAAAATACCATATTCAACACTTAACATATTATGTAAATTTACCCAAATCAAAGCTTAAGTCTTGATTGTTAAGTTATTCTTCCCTCAACAAGACGTTGCATTTTGTTGTGTAACATTCCTGAACTGACATTTCATCAAGGGAAGCAAAATCATTTGCAGATTTCGGACATTGTTGTGTAATCATAAAAGGACTATATATGTGTCAATAAAAACAAGAGATCCCAAAGGGATCTTGGTGGCCACCATTGTACCATCTTCATTAGGTCTTTGTCAGTTCGATCTTTTCTCTTCTTTTCTCTTATCTGTTTGATCGAGTCACGTTAACAGTAAATGCACCTTGAGGTAACTTTTGATCTAAACTTAATACTGCTGTGTATAAAAGACAACCTTCAAATTGAGTTGTCATTTCACATATTTACTAGTACAGTACTTAATGTGAAAGAAATAGAATTGATCATCGCAATATGAGAAAGATCTGTTTAGTTCTTCCTTTAGCTATTTTGTTTGTATGATCAGTCTCAAAATATATCATGCACAACGAGGGATCAATGGGAACCTAAATATCACATTTGAGAAAGATCAAGTTATTCCTGAAAAATAGTACTAACAAACGTTCAATATCAAAAATCAAAGCCTGTTTCAGTTTCAAGAGTAAACATGCACAACTAAGGACCTAGGAGAACCTACATACAAGATTTGAGAAAGATCTCCACTACTTATTGAGAAACAGCTATAACAAACATTCACTTTCAAAATCCAAGATGGCTGCCTGTCGGCCATGTTGTTTATCTGTTCAGTCTCAAGAAATGCCCTGCACAACTAGGGACCAAGGGGAACCTATATATTAAATTTGAGAAAGATCCCTCTGGTACTTCCTGAGAAATAGTGATAACAAACCTTCACTATCAAAATCCAAGATGGCTGCGTGTCGGCCATGTTGTTTATCCGATCAGTCTCAAAAGTTGCCCTGCACAGCAAGGGACCAAGGGGAACCTACATATCAAATTTGAAAAAGACCCCTTTGGCACTTCCTGAGAAATAGCAAAAACAAGAATTGTTTAAGGAAGGACCAAGGACGCGGAGCAATTTGAATAGCCTACCATTAGATGACATTGGGCTAAAAATCTTGAAATTGAACTGATTTTTTTTACAAATGTTACATTGTGTGTCGTGGAATATTATACATAGTAAAATTGTTGGCCTCTATTGATCTAGTGTTGGCCTAAATTGATCTAGTGTTGGCCTCTATTGATCAAGTGATGGCCTCTATTGATCTAGTGTTGGCCTAAATTGATCAAGTGTTGGCCTCTAATGATCAAGTGTTGGCCTCTATTGATCAAGTGTTGACCTCTATTGAACAAGTGTTGGCCTCTAATGATCAAGTGTTGGCCTCTTTTGATCAAGTGTTGGCCTCTAATGATCAAGTGTTGACCTATAATGATCTAGTGTAGTCCTCTATTGATCAAGTATTGGCCTCTAATGATCAAGTGTTGGCCTCTATTGATCAAGTGTTGGCCTCTAATGATCAAGTGTTGACCTCTATTGAACAAGTGTTGGCCTCTAATGATCAAGTGTTGGCCTCTTTTGATCAAGTGTTGGCCTCTAATGATCAAGTGTTGACCTATAATCATCTAGTGTAGTCCTCTATTGATCAAGTATTGGCCTCTAATGATCAAGTGTTGGCCTCTATTGATCAAGTGTTGGCCTCTAATGATCAAGTGTTGACCT